AGTATCAAAACATCAACAAAAACCTAAACTGTTTAAATTCTGATTAAATGCAACTAAAGTAAAAATTACGGTGCTTCAGCAGAAGCCAAAACTAGTCAGGAATAAACACATGAAATTACAGTTAATCTGGGTGCAGCCAAAGCTATAGTCAATGTAAATTTATAGTCTAAACATCTTTCTACCTTAGGAAAGAAATCGAATTATGAACTCAACTTCATATTTCAGAAAAGTAAACGAGGCAAGCAGAGGCACCAAACGAAGATAAGCATTAAGTATTCAAGTCTATCAACCGGCAGGGTTTGCCCTAGCTGGTTATGAAGCACAGAACCACCTCGTCTTCCAGTCGAGGAAGAACAGGAACTACCCAGAAGGCAGGCCGGATATCTCTCAAGCTTCAGCCCACGGGCCCCAGCTCCCAAACGGCCACACCTGAGCGCAGTTACCCCGGGATTCTGATTATCCGGTGGCAGGCCCCTCCCGTCAAATCCCCACCACTAGGCCGCTAATTAATAGAACTTGCAGATGTGCGGGTCCTCACCGGCTGGGCTGGGTGGGGCGCAGGTGCGGGCGCCCTCGGGCCTCCTCCCACCTTCTCCCCAGCAACCAGAAGCAACAGTCAGATCGCTTCCAGGTCAGGACCCTCCTCCTGCTAGAAAAGTCTTTGGAAAAACACTTAATAGGTAGTTCCAAGGAGTACAAGGAAGACCGCCACGCCCTTTCCAGCTCCGGGAAAGACCCGCCCCAGACCCACGTGGCACCTCTGGGTCGGCTCCACCCCTCAGCCTGGAGACCCCAGCAGCCCTGAAGCCTGCTCCCACTGAATGCCGCTTCTGGAGGGGAAGGAGTCCAAAGGGGGCAATTACTAGATGGGGAACCAAGGCAGAGGTCACAAACACCGGAGGACTTCCTGTGCCAGTGGGTAAGAATATGAAGCTGCAGGGTGACCACGGATCTTGGAAAGCCCATGTTTTCTGATCACTAGAATTTTTTGAATAGAAATGCTAACCTAAAAATTTTAACATAAAATTTTGGGTACTTACTATGCAGATTTTTAGTGCTTGCCTTTAACATTTGTATTTATTACATTAGTCTCAAACGCTATCAAAGATGAAGAAACCAGCTACGTTTTTGCATAATATAAAGGGGAGCGGGAATAAGAGTCTGAATGGCTAGGAAGATGTACCCCAACAGTCAGTACCATAATTCATGGAGCAAGCAGATCTACCATAGAACAAACAGAAGATTCCTTTGATTGTGCATACCAACATACAGCAGGCTACAAACAGCATTCCAGGAGATGAGCAGGGACCTGTTCCGTAGTTGAGAAATAATGGATCGGTACCCCGTTTATTAGAGTTCAGCTGCCCCACCACGGCGGTCTGTGACTAGAAAGCTTTAGCTTCACAGAGTTGAGGGGACGTTTCATTAAATCTAATGTTCAAAGACTGGCATTCTGAGATCTGATTATCTTAAACTGGTAAACAAGGTTATGGCATTACCAACATATCTTTATACAAATACTTACATAAAAGGCATTTTCTATGTCAACGTTATTAAAGTCAAAGAAGAAGTGTAAGCACTTAACTGGATGTAAACAGTCACCTATGTATTAAACCCAATCTTGGCCATCTGTTTCAAAGCAAAACCATTTCTTAGATTAAATGTTTTTACATTGCTGTTTTTACTTTATAAGTTTTACTTGTCTTTATTTTTACAAAATTAAGATTATAATAAATAAGTCAACACGGGAGAGGGGGAGAACAATGGCAAATGGATTTAGAGTCCTTGGTTTCTTAGAACCTATGTCCTAACAGAAATGAAACACAGACCAAGAGGTATTCATTTGTTTAACAGGTAAAGGCCAGGGGACCAGCAGTTGGCGTAATGGCTATGTCGCTGGACTCCCACATAGTCGACTGCGGTTCGCGTCCCGGACCCAGTGGCTTAAA